CGGGAGAAAGGGAGGCGGCGGCGCCCGGTGCCGCCCGGTGCCGCGGGGGAGCAGGCACAGGGACACAGCTGCCAGCAGCACTCGAGGTTCTGGTTTCCTCTCAAGAGCGCTGGGGCGTCCTGCACCGGCTCCTTCCACCGGGCTCCTTCCAAGTCCCTTTGAACAAGCTCTACCCGCGGAGGCGCCGTCCTCTCCAGTGGGCACCCCTCTTCCAAGGGCATCCCGGGCAATGCAAGGCCCCAGATTCTTTTTTTTCGGGGGGGGGTGGTGGTAACATTAAAAGTCCTTCCTACTTAATGTGCTTTAGTTTCTCACACGTCTTGCGATTCACGCAGAAGGAATTTAGATTGATCCAGAGGAGTGGACGTCCGTTCTCGCAAACATATCTCTTTCTTTTTTATGTGGTTCTCTAATATCTGTGAGTGTTGTTGCTGTGGTTACAAACGGCTGATCTACCACAGGTGGGTTTTCTTTTTCTTTCTTTCCCTTTTTCAGGTTTTATTTGTGTGTTGCTGAAAATTCTTTTGATAAAATTAGCCCCCTCGGATAATGACCGTTTTATAGTTTTTTTTAAAAAGGACTTTTAGCAGAGAATAACTTGTGGGAATCTTCCTCTGTCTTTGTGTAAAACAGATGGAAAGTGTCTCTATCACATATTTCTCTAGGAAAGAAAGTTTGGATAGGCTGAGTACTAAATGCTACAGTGGGATAATATATTAATTCTGGTTTTCGCCGCCTAAATTATGAGCTTCCATTAGTTATTTCCACTTACCCTTTACACCACCCATCGTTTGCAGCACAAGCGAAATAACAACACACAGATGAGCAATGTCATCTTTTTAAAACACATACATATAGCTCTGTTTAAGGAAAATGTCAATGGAGTTATCATGAAGGCTGCCCTCCAGAAGATTATTGAAAACAAATACCAGGAGATATTAGCCCGATGCAAGAATTTAGCAGAAACACTTCAGATTCATTTAAAAATAATGGCACTCTCTAAAACTTGGAGAATCAGACATTGGTCACAATTAAAGATTATGTAAAAATAAAACACAATGCAGTACTTGTAATAAATAAAGGAAAATGTTAAGGGTTTTTTGGAAAAAAATCTTAAAAATATGGTAACTAATACAGTTGCAGAGCGAATAATCTATATTGTTTTTATTTTCATCTACTTTACTATAACTGGCAGGTTCAGATAAACAGTTTCTTTAGACAGATAGATATATTCACTCTCCATAAGAAGAGAAGGGGATACGGAAGTTTTGTTGCACTGACCATTCTGGCCTCACCTTGTTTTTATTTATCTGGCATGTTAGGCAAACATTTTTGTATTCTTTTTGTTCTAACTCACTAATCTCTTTGAGCATAATTACAATCATAGTTTGATTTCCTGAAAATGTTGCTAAATGTCATTTATTTATTTGTAACATTTCTAAGAAGCATTAATTATACGTACCAGCAAAAAGCGTCTGCACATTTCCATAAATTACATGTGATTTTAATGTCTAATGTGAGGTGTTTTCACACATATAACAAAAGCTGTGTCTAGACTAACAGCAGCAACAACAAAAAGCCTAAACTGTCCTTTGATATAAAGAGAAACGCAGGAGACGGGGGAGTACTGCTGGTATTAATATTTATCCTGACTTTCTGCTTTGGCCTGCTATTTAAAAACACAATTAGACAGTAAATTAGGAGTCTTTGGACAGTCAGCTGGATTCATCTAATCGAAAAATCTCAAAAGGAGTTTTAAGTGTTCTCGTTAGATGCCAGAGCCTTCCGAGCACTTCCAGAGCCACCTGGCTGGGAGAGCGGGGGAACGTGACCATTACTTACCAGACACTGGTCCTGTTCTCTGCTCGGTGGTTAAAGAAAACATCGTCAACTCCTGTGAGGTATGCACAGATTTTCAGAAGGTTACCATCGTCGAGAAGCTACTTTTTTTTCTTTCTGAGAACTTTTCCTTTGGAGAAAGTGTATGCCTCCCTCGCCACCAATGCCTGTGAGCATTTTGTGTTTACCTTCTGTATTCCTGGTGCTAGCTGATCTCAAAAGAAAATTAACTCCCCGTGGAGAAGGATGGAATGCAGAATCCCAGCAGAGCTTTCGATGGGTCAGAAGAAGCAGAATGGAAGGCCGAGCTACAGAAGTATAAGCATTTTTGTTAGAAAGAAAGATCTGGTGTGGGGAGTTGACCTCCGTTACGTGGCTGTTGTCCCCTTAAATCTCGGCAGTGTTCCTTCAGCCTTGCATAGAGGAAGTCTTGCTACCCATCTGGCTAGAGCAGGGACGGGGGGATGGGATCTCGTGAGTGGCCGTTTGAGTTTATTTAGTACTCTATTGAGGTTTTCAGAAAACGTCTATTTTCAGACAGGTTTTGAGCCTGAACAAATTGTGTTTTCATCATCATTGCTTTGCTACATTCTGGACAGACAGCACAGATGCCAGATTCCTTTTGCCTGGCAAAAAAGATCATAAAGTAAACTCTTTCTGAGCGAGCACTATAACTCATAACTTTAGTTTAAATTTGGGCTTTAAAAAAAACAAATATTTTAATAAGCCAATTTTAAAAGCTGAACTTTTATGACAGTTTTTAAACTGAGTATTTATATTAATCTATTCTCACTGGTGTCTTTAAAAACCCTGTGAATGCATGCTGGAATGTCTGTTTATGTTTGTGTCTTTTCCTGGGAAAGGATAAATGTGCTGCTCAAAGCAAAGCAAATACAAAGCTCTCCACTAGCAAAGAGTTCACGGATGAGGCAGTAAAATTCAAAGGAGGTGAATAAGTCAACGTAGCCAAGAAATGGGAAGCCGTAAAGAAGAGGCAGAATCTAAGAGATACAGACATGGGTGTTTTCAAAAGTCAAGCAAAGATGAAACACTAAAAACAGAAACTGCTTAAAAAGATATTCCACGTGGTCACCTGAGTCTGCACATGTGATAAAATTGCATAGAGCTGAGCACACATGCACATACATGCACACACTCATGCGTGTAAAACTGGTGTGATCTGAATAAGGTCTGAGCACAGTACCAGTGGTCAGTTTCCTGGTCATGGTCGTGTTCTGTACGTTTGCGAGATGTATTATTGGGGAAATGAGTGAAGAGGGTGAGGGAATCTCTTAATTTTTACAACTTCATGTGAATTTATAATTATCTCAAAATTAAAATAAAAAATTTCACGAAACATCTTTTAAAAAATTTAAATATAGTTAAAGGAGAAAATTGCATAAGGAATTATTACTAGGCTTTACCTCAGAGAAATAAAGTAAAAAGGTGCTTTGAGCAAAATTCACACTTTTTTCCTGATGCCATTTGTACTATGAGTACTCAGGATAT